CACAAAACATTCCCATTAAATATTTCAACTATTCAATTTATCTACTTTGGTCACTAAATTTTATAATTTCATAATTTGATCACTAACCCGGTATGGAGGATATTACATCGATAATTTCTATAATCAATTTCTACTATATCATACAAATCTTATTCTATTAGCAAGACAACATACTCATTACACTATCATATCAGAAATTTTCACTTATAGTTAGCATGTACACATTTTAAACCTCAGTTAACTTCGGTTTAAGCCTAGAATCGGCTAAACCTTAGCTCTGATACCATTAATGTAACACCCCCAACCCGTATTAAAAATCGAATACGAGTCTGAGGTGTCACATTGACTTTTCAAAACATTTACTTGTATAAAATAGTGAGTAATTTAAACTTTTATAACATATAACTTATTCAAAACGTTTACAAAACTATTCAGAGCTTATACAATATATTCTTTTGAATACATGCCAACTAGAACTTTATATATTAAAATACATATTCTTCACCTCTCTTCTGATCTGACTTTCAATAAGGAGAACTGACATGTATTATTCTACATTACTCTTCACTCCTCTTGAAACCTACGTGTAAATCACTTACACGCTAAATCTATGACTTAGTGAGGCAATAAATATATAATGTAAACTATAACTTGTAATCATGCATGGACAATTATTGCTATCACATCATACCCAAACATATATCCATTCATATATCAAATCCACACATGCATATAATTATCTTCTTTTCTATCATTATCATATTATTACCATTCATATTTCTATTCTCTTGTTTATATGATCTATTATGTTCATATCATATATCTTATAACATATACAATAATCATTAACACACACATATATATATTATATAATATATATATATATATATATATATATATATATATATATATATCACATTAATTGTATTCAATGTTATCTCTTATTAGCCCATGTATACCTGTGAGAACTATAGATATGTGAGTCTATTGAGGTTGTGCACTATGCTATAACCACAGCTCGTAAGGGGTCCCACTAGGGGCTATGAAATTTTATCCCGAAGGACCTATGTATTGTATTTGTCCCGAAAGACCACTCCTTAAGAACCATATACATATTCCAATGGATCAAATCTGTCTCAAAAGACCCTGTAAATGTTTCAAAGTATACATATATGTCCCGAAGGACCAAGTAGAACCCTCGACCCTTGGCATGCCAACTATACCTATAGCTCTCGTATCATATAACATGGGCATTTTCACTTATATTATTCCACATATACCCTTTCATATTATATGTCATATAAGCTCATAGCTTCTTTCACATATACATGTAGTAACATAGCTTCTTTTCATATTATCACATAGTTCATATCTTATAGTTTGTATTCTCATGTTCACATATATCATGTCATATGGCTCATATATTTCTCATGCAATCACATAGTTCAGTTTTACATATGTTCATATATATATATATCACATAGCACATACTTCTTATATCATTACATACAAAAGCATGTTAACACATATAATCATGCAACATATACAATAATATGTCACCACATCGACTCATGCACACATATGAACCATAGCAAAAACATACTTCTATATAGGAATTCATGCATTTTACTATTGGAAATATACTTGTCGCAAGTCTTATTTCCCATTAAACATCATATACTAAATAATATGCACTCACCTGGGCCTCACTAAGTTCCAATCCACTTTTATGATTTCCTTTATTTCGATCGAATCTTAACTTGATAATCGTTCTGGAACTTGTTCGTGCTCGATATATATATAATCATACATTGATACATATCAGTATCCAATTGATATATTCTAATCTATCATTTCTTAGACCAAAAGAAATGTCTATTTCAATTTCCCCTTGAAGTGCATCGATACATTCTACAGTGCATCGATGCATTCTTTAACATGTGCATCGATGCACTACCCATGCATCGATACACCAATCACCTTCGATGTTTTCATTTTAAGGGGGTGCATCAATGCACTCCTTATGCATCGATGCACTAATTACATTCGATGTTTCTTCTTTAAAGATTGCATCGATACACATTGAATGTGCATCGATACATCTGCCCAGAATTTGCATTTTAAGCCCGAAAACCATCAACTTTTCTCTCAATTCTTCTATTTTAAGCCTCTATCATGTCATTAAACTTAACTACCATTACTTAAACCAACTTATATCCATATAAACCATCTTTATCTTCCATATATCATCATGATTCTTAAAATTTAAGAATCTTGCTAAAATTTCAACTTTGTTATTAATCATTTCTAACTTCATAAATCTCTTATTCTTATTGATGGCAAGTCAAAATCAACTTTCAATTCTTATTATAAACTCTATTTCAATATTTCACTCAAGAATTTCAAATCTTTAATCTTCCCTAACTCCTTTATCTTTTGATTTTAAGATAACTTAAGCTTTCCTTAAGCTTAGTTATCATCTACTGATTCTAACCCAACCTTAAATTTATCCAGAAATTATCTAAATAGAAGACTCACCTTTGATTCAAGCCTTCACGTATGAAGAAGGAAGAAGAGAAGAGAAGAGAACTCTGGAACCTTTTCTCTCTTCCCACGTGGTTTCCTTATCTTATAAGGAAAATAAAAATCTTCCTTGTCAGATGACCCTTTTGCCCTTCAATTCATCTAATAATTACTAACAACTTTTATGATTTATTTCCAAATAAATCATTGGACTAATCCATGGTTCTACTCTAGTCACCAAATTCTGAAACTTTACAATTTGATCACTAACCCGGTATTGAGGATGTTACACATTCTTTATCTGAAAAATCCTCTTTCGACCAAACACACACTTGGTATTTCCACATTACAGAATGAGCATGAGGCAATTCTATGAAACCGGGGAAAAACCGACTCTGGACTTACATGGTGAGAATACAAATCGATGACATATACCTGCTAGGTGAGACAGTTGCAGTTCAAACTTCTAATAAGATCCATCAATTGCAATCATGCTGTTTTGTTTCCATACTGATACATGCAAGTTGCATGCAGTTCATCAATGGAACAGTTAGACTGGCAAATATAGTTCCAGGAATCTTCAGAAAAACATCAAGGGAAATCCATTTCAAAGGTATGCATTAAAAGAAGTTACTCTCCAAATGTTCTAAACAAGTTTTAGCCATTCAATTAATACGAAAACTAACACATATCGATAATTATGCAGGGTATACCATTCCGGTAGGTTGGGCAGTAACGGTCTGTCCCCCCGGCTGTGCACCTCAATCCAGAAAAATACCAAGATTCCCTCATCTTCAATCCATCAAGATGGGAGGTGGGTGAATATTGTAAATTTTGTCCTCCTTAACCTGCAAGATCAATCTGAAAAAGAAAATTTACTTTTGAGCTAAAAAAGATTGCAACATGTAACTGCGGGGAACAGAAATGAATGGAGCCTCGAGGAATTTCATGGCATTTGGTGGTGGCATGAGATTTTGTGTAGGAACAGACTTCACTAAAGTGCAGATGGCCGTATTTCTCCAGTGCCTGATTACAAAATACAGGTAATAGCATGCTGCCACAAACTAAAATATGTTCTTTACCTGCTCTGCACTGATCGGTCGCTAGAAACTCATCGAGATTCCGAACCCTTTCAGGTGGGAACCAATCAAAGGAGGAAATATACTCCGAACTCCAGGTTTACAATTTCCAGATGGATTTCACGTTCAGCTCACAGAGAAAACTAGAATGGAGTAGTAACTTTACCGAAACAAGGCAGAAAATGGTTCAACTTCTTTGTATTATTCTTAATCTTAAGTTTTCTTTTCATTATCCAATCAATATTTAAAGAGAAGAAATGCACATATAGCGTATCCATGTAGAAAACTCGGAATGCATTTATGACTAACACTTTTGCTCCGGCAAAAATCTCAAGAATCATGAATGAAAATAACATACACATCATTAGCAAAAATAGACAGGAAATACCTCCATGAGGGTGACACCTTTTGAGCAGTCAAACTACACAACGAAGAAATTCATCGTAGCTGAAATTAGATCAACTTGCTGCAACAAAAGTTCATAGAAAACAGAAACAGCTTCAACATGTTTGTTTTATCAAGCTTTTAACCAGTTTTCCATATGGTGAAAAACATGAAAAATCTAGCTCAACATTTTAAATCATGCAGTGAAGATAAACCCTACTGAAAATTATCTACATATTCTAAAATCTATTAATAGTTTCATACTCCTGTAAAAGGATGGAATCCGTGTCAAATTGAGCTCAAGTAAAGAACATGGCATTAAAGGTGATAAACAACCGATGTGAAAACCTAAAGACACCCATCACTATAAGTAATATTAAAATGTGAAGTGTTTTAGGTGAAAAATACATAAGAAAGCAATTAGTCATAAGGTGACACAAAGGAGAAGCAAACTTATAAAATTCTAAAAGATACATTTATAAAATTTTAAAGGACGAAAATAGATTATCAATAAAAAAATATAAATTTTGTAAATTATATGAAAATTTAAAATTTCAAAGAAGTCGTTAATCCTTACATGAAAGAGAGAAAATATTTATATTGCTAGGTGCATGAACAAATGCTAGCACGTATATTCATAACTTCAATATTTTCACTACATTATAAGAACTAACCTGTGGTACAAGTCACTCGATTAATGGAGCCTTTTAATAAGAATTACACATGCAACTCTTGTGGGTCTTATCATCTGATATGTCAGTAAAACCTATTTTGCTTCTTATTTTAAATGAACGTGATCTTACTTTTAGAAATAAAACATTAAAATAAATTTATCTAATTTTAAATATAAAAAAATTAATTAAAAATGTATAATAATTCAAATGGAGAAAAAAGTGAAAAGAATAGAATTATTAAGACAAAACATTATATGATAAGTGTAAGAAACGAAGCGAACATTATCTGCCAATAAAACCCCCAATGGCAATTATGAAAAGAAGACAGAAAGTTTATTCGGTTTCGTTTCAGCAGCATCGTCAATCCTCCATCTGTCATCTATCATCTCCACCATTCCCTATAACCCTAATTGTCCAAATCCCCTGAAAGAAAGAAAAAAACTAAAAACCCCGTAAATATCTTTTGTTTCTAGATCTACCTGTTTTTTTTTTTATTCTAGGATTTTATTTTATTTTGAGAATTACCAAAAATGGCTTCAACGACTCCAACGAACCGATCTTCATCGGATGATATCATCGATGCGACGCCTCTTCTCTCATCAACAAGTAACGCTTCAAGGGACGAGACCACCGCGCGTCGTTCCGTTCGTCGCCAGAGCCTCCGTGAAGCGGCTCGGTTCCTCCGCCGAGCCAGCAGCCGAAGGATGATGCGTGAACCCTCCATGCTGGTTCGAGAGACCGCAGCCGAGCAGCTCGAGGAGCGCCAGAGCGATTGGGCGTATTCGAAGCCCGTCGTGGTCCTCGACATTATCTGGAATTTCGCGTTCGTCGTGGTGTCGATCGGGGTTTTGCTTTTTAGCAGGGACGAGAGGCCGGAGATGCCGTTGAGGCTGTGGATAATTGGCTACGCTTCGCAGTGTTTGTTGCATATGGTTTGCGTTTGTGTGGAGTACAGGCGCCGCTGGCGGCAGCGGAGCTTGGGATACAGGTCAATTAATTCCGGCGAGGAAGGGATTCCCAGCCCAGGATCAAGGGTGGATTCAGAGCAGTACGTGTCATTGTCTCAGCTGGAAGAGGATAGTGGAAGGTACATGTATTGTTACTTAAAAGAATTTGAGAAGCTAAAATGTTATTTTTTATTATTAGTTTTGAGTTTTATTTGTAAATTTATAGTTTGTTTGTAGATATTAGAGATTATCGTTTTCTGGGTCCTGGGGAAATGGAGAGGAATTTGGAAACTTTGTTTCGTTTGTTGGAAATTGGAATAAATAGGTTACAGACCACAATAGAGGAGGCTCATATTTTCATGTGATATCTGAATTGCAATTCGGTATTTGATGTCGGTTGGGGATTTTCATGTATGCAAAGCATTTGAAACTAGTCAAATTAAATGTTGAGAACTTATTATGATCCTTAAATTTTGTGTGTGTTTTATACTGTATCTTGGATATATTTAACCTCATCTGTTAGAACTTTGTGTATGATATTACTGCACACTCAGTTAAATGGCTGAAATCATTTGAAATCGATGTTTCCAGTAGTGTTGCAAAGCATCTTGAATCTACGAATACAATGTTTTCATTCATCTGGTGGATCATTGGATTCTACTGGGTATCAATAGGAGGCCAAGCATTGGCACGCTCCTCCCCTCAGCTTTATTGGTTAGTTAGTATTATTCTTCCGGCTGTCTTTTTGGTGTTTGAATGTTCTCCCTGATAACCAGATCCTAAATATTTTAATTATCATTTCATCTGCAGGCTTTGTATAATTTTTCTTGGTTTCGATGTTTTCTTTGTTGTTTTCTGTGTTGCACTGGCATGCATCATTGGTGTTGCTGTTTGCTGCTGTCTTCCATGTATTATTGCAATCCTATATGCTGTGGCAGATCAGGTAATTTTCACATCACCGTGATTATATACGCTTCATTAGTTGTTTGCGTGCATTTGATGCATGATTTGTGCGTAATATATGGTTTAGTTTGATGTAGTTGCTATGGGTCCTTGCACCATTGTGTGAAACTTGAACTTTCTACTTGGATCTGGTTCAGTAGAGGTGATTGTTTTAATCACCGTGGACTAAATAAGAGTTTGCTTTCTGGGTTTGGCTGGAAAGGTTTAGTTAATTCATAATTTCTATAGTTGTATGACTCTTTGATGCACATTTCTTTTTACTGGCTTCATATGACCTCTTGAATCAGGAGGGAGCTACCAAGGAAGACATTGATCAGTTGTCTAAATTCAAGTTTCGAAAAATTGACAATAATGGAAAATCTCCTGGTGATGTACAAGGACCTTTTGGGGGAATAATGACTGAATGTGGCACCGATTCCCCCAGGGAACATATTCTTTCCCCGGACGATGCAGTAAGCCGACTTCTTTTGTTTTTATTCTCTTTACTTCCTTTATCTTCCCCCTACGAGTTGCCCCTCCATAAATTATATGATGTTAAACGATGACTGTTCAATGACAATTCATTTTGTCCTCGTGTAAGTTGAAGGGAGTTTAAGTGAAGTACCCAACTGATATTGATTCTTGGGTTAATTTATAGGAATGTTGCATTTGCCTTTCCGCTTACGATGACGGAGTTGAGCTAAGGGAACTTCCTTGCTGTCACCATTTTCATTGTGCCTGTATAGATAAGTGGCTATACATCAATGCTACCTGCCCTCTCTGCAAATACAACATTCTAAAGAGTAGCATCCACGATGAAGTGTAGAAGAACGGAAACAATTATTAACGGTTGACTCTGCTACCTCTGCTTATGGTTTAAGCTCAACGGCAGCAGTATAATGTACAGCACTTAATATAGGCTATTCTATATTATTGTCCTTTTTGGTGGTAGTTGTCTATCATAGAGCTGGGGTGATAGTGATGACGTGCTTACTTTAGCTCTGGTCTTCATGGAGTTTCGTGTATATCAATGATTTCCCGGGGCATCTAAAGCACTGGCTGAGTTGAACAACTCGTTTCTTTCTCTACTATTTATTTTCATCATTTGATAACATCTGTCTACTAGTACTTGTTTAAGGCATCTTCTCTCTGTTCTGAATTGCATTGGCTTGTTCTAGTCTTCTAGCACGTAAAAACAATTAATTATACAACAGGACGAAATATTATTCTGGACAATTGAATCAAATTCATCTCCGTCACTATTATAATAAGTTAATAATATAACCTCATTTGTTAGTAATTCTTTTACAATTTTTTTGGTGAGAATAATTCTTTTACATTAATACATGAGATAATTATCTTTAGAAAAAAGTAGAGTTTAAATTATCCCATCAAAATAACAACTTTTTAAAATTAATAAAATAAATAAAACTAAACTTTTACACTTAATTTATATATTCAAAATATCCATACATGAAAATGTCATAAATATTTAAATAATTATTATTTTATTATTTTATATTGTACCGCATTAAAATTTTAAATTAATTTATATGACAAGACTTTTAATAATAATTTTTGTATATAGAGGTAGTTAATTTTATTAAAAAGAAGAATATTCAAAATTATAATGGAGGATTATAACCATAATCATAAACTAAACAAATAATTAAGTTATTTTCTTATAATCACACAAAAACTAGTCACTTAAGATCACACAATGACCATATAAGGAAAATGTTAAAAACCTAATAAAAAACTCTAACAAAAGATAGATACGAACATATATGATCGTAATAGTAAACGAACTACAAAAAAGAGATGAAGCTATTGAAAGACCATCGACAAACCGCAAATCAAAGTCGAGCAACATGAAAAAATAATTCACAAACACGAATTGCATATTCAAATTCAATCCAATGTTCAAAAATATGGAAGATCAACATGATAACAAATTATAGTCATCTTGATTAGTTGTGACAAATGTCAAATCCAACCCTAAAAAAAGATAAACAAAAACAACCGTCAAACCGAAAACATGCCAAAAGACAGAGAAAACATTCCATAAAGGTAGAGAAAAACGTGTCATTAAGGTTAAATTATTAAATACTGAAAAACGAAGAAAAATTAAAGACATAATATAAAAAATAAAAGAAATACAAGAAATATCGATGACGACAACTAACATCAAGGTTTGTTCCATCGACTCAATCAAAAATGAAAAAAAGGAACCAACGACGTTTAAGGTAAAAGGGAGAAAATCCTAATAATAAAAGTTGAATACAATAAAACCTCTATAAATTAATAATACCAGGATCGCACAATCATATTAATTTAAAAAAAGTATTAATTAATCGATAAATTAATAATTTATTAAAACTGTAGATGATACAATGCTAATATTATTAAAAATCTTATTGAGGATTAAATTGAAGATGATACAATGTCTTTACAACCAATTACACGAAGGAAACACTCGTAGCGATGAACTTTTCATAATTTTTTGTTGTAATATGAGAACACGACACCGAAATTTTTAGATACAATAAGGAAAATTACTAATGAAATATAAATTTCAAGAAGAAACAAACAATAATAAAATAATATTTTACTATGTTATCCTAGTTATATTTGTAATTTTATTGAAATATTAATTTATAATATTAAATGGACTATAAATTTATATTCTAAAAATTATTATATTATTAATTTATCGAAATTATTAATTTAAACATTAAGTATAAATAGAGATCTAAAAAATATTATTTTATTGAATATTAATATACCAATTTTTTTCTAACAACGTTATAATGGTATATGCGTGTGTAAATATACCACCTCTAAGGTAGTGTTCAAAACCAATTGATGTTATTCCCACTTCCTGACCTGTAAATTGTAACGTCCCAAAGGAAAAAAAATTAAATTCATAGGTTTACTGAAATCTAATTAGTCAACAAGAAGGTAAAAATATTGTTGTTTCCTATTAAATTATGTGAATCAAATGTGGAGTCAAATCTAGAACAATATGGTACCATCTTAGATGATGCCCCTTCCTTTTCATCGCACAAAATGTTGGATTCTATTACATTTATGGCTTTTGCTTTACAACATCGCCCTCCTCGATGGAGTCTCACATTCCAGAAGCAACCAGAACAAATGCTTCCTCACCCCACGTGTCATGTTCCAAACACGTGATTCCTCGACGAACGCTCCCTTAGGACCACTTCATCGACACCGTCCAGTGCTTTCAAATCAAATAGCTTTGTATACCGTTTGATCATCTCTCATGCTCCAGCCAAGTCGATTCTTGATCATCACTTTTTCTTTCCACGGTTCTTCTTTAACCTTAGATCCAGGATCAAGGTCCTGCTGCCGTACTTGATTTTTATTCTTACCCTCATCCTCATCTTCTCTCTTCAAACGCTTCACTCCTACGGAAACTCCGAATAATTTCGGCGTCACATCCTCTTCTGCCGTCGTTGCCTCCTTCGGACTATTATGCTCTGTATTACTAGTTGAATTCCTCGTTGATAATAGATCTAACGCCTTCCCTTCTGCCAAATTTGAATGATTCTCAAAATTACCTGAACCATTGCTGGTCATCAAAGTTAATATATTGTTACACAATCCCCTCAACCGAGTCAACTCATGGCTCAGATGCACATTTTCTTTTCTAAGCCTCTCGTTCTCCTCTACAAGCTCCGGCCTCGTTGTGCAGCTCGTGATCCGGTGCAGAATGGAGGCGACGGGAACGGGAGGCGAGTTCGACGAGATTACATGCTTATCGCCCGAGTTCGAGGGGGATACCCTACAAGGAACAGCCGCAACGGTCACCGTCGCCGAAGCAGCAGCAAAAACAGGAGTTATTTTACGGCGCTGTATGTCTCGGAGAAGTTCCTTCTCGCCTCTTCGAAAACAATCGTTAGCGAATTCCCATCGGTCCGGCACTACCTTCCTAAATCCCTAAAATAGTAATGGTAATCATAAAATAAATAAATTTATCATAACGAGCTAATTATGCTTGGCAATTTTTAACACTTACATATGTGTTGAGTTGGCGTACGAAGCTGGAGAAGTTGTTATGTTTGAAGTATTTAGGGAGCAAATCACGAGCGAATTCCGCGGGGTGCCAAACGATGAAAGCCGATCCATCTTCGTTCCATGAAATCAAGTCATCAACGGAGGAATCGTCGACTAGCTGATAGGTTTTCATAAGGAACGGAGTCGGTAAAGATCTCTGCGAGTCGGCGGCAGCACCGGCTGGGGATTCGCAGGCCATGCGGTTCGATCCTCTCTAAAGAGAGAGATTCCTCCGCCTTCCTTTAGTTCCTGAACTGCTGCTGATTAATAAAAATAATAGCGTACGTTTTACCCGAGAAAGTTCTTGAAGATAAAATAAAAATATCTTCGATGCTTCTAAGTTGAAAATATCTAGCTTAGTCGGCCAAATTTAACACTAAAAATTCATTTATTTATTCAGATTCATAGAAACGGAAACAGTTTCCCGCTGCTGTGATATTTTGATATAATTGATGAACAAATATTATAAGCATTAACCCGTTTCTTCATTCAATCATAAAGAAATACATTAAATGAACTTGAAGTTCAAATCTAACAGGGAGAACAAGTGGATATTAAAATATTTTAATATTCGTACCTGGAAAAGAAAGCAAAATTTTTCACCAACCAAATAAGTTGTCGACACACCTTTTCATCCGGATACAACACTCTCAATAATTTTGATTTAGTGAGATTCAAGAAACAAACATAACGTTAGAGTTTTACTAGGATTCAAACTTCTAAAAATAAGATAGAGTTTTACTAGGATTCAAACTCCTAAAAATAAGATAGAGTTTTACTAGGATTCAAACTCCTAAAAATAAAATAGAGTTTTACTATGATTCAAACTCCTAAAAATAAGATCCACAAGCTTTATAAATAGCTATTGTAACTCACTATTGTAAGACGACAATTTTCATACGAAATAAACAATAGAAAGTTCGAGCAAATCAGAGCAAGACAACGTTTTTCTCCGAAGAGAAAAATCAATAGAAAAGGTAAAAGTTTATACCTTTTGCGTTTTAACTCCTTGCATGTGTATTTCCTCTCTCGTGGTGTTTAGAATATAACCCGAAAGAAAGATTTTTGGCCAATGAATGAGGTGAGGCCTTATTCTCGAAACTCTTTTTGTAGATCTACGCTTTTCTAAAGCGATTTTTGAAAAATAGTCTTGATTTTTGAAAAGGAAAATTTGAAAAGCATTCGAAAAAGTAAAAAAAAAAATTCATCGCCGATGATCGACGGCCGACGAGGCGGCGCCACCCCCGGAATCTGGAAACCAAGACTCTCGTTCTTCATTATGAAAAACAATTGAGAGCATAATATGAATAGGAGGCTTTTTGACGAGAGAAGAGAGAAAATGAATTTTTAGAAAAAAAATTGGTTTAAATAATTGGCACATCAGACCGCCTGACCCGATCTATACCCGCATCTGGACTCGCGTGTTTTTAACATAGAGTGGGGTAATTGTCGTTTGGTCCCCCATTTTTTTAAATCCTTTAATGTTAGCTGCAAATCAATTTTAATTTCCCCAATTGCTTTCGAATTTGGCCCCAATTTCGACTTTTCTTTCATATTAGTCCTTTATTTATTATGTAGATATTTTTATTTATTTCCTTTTATTATTTGTATTATATATATATATATATATATTAATCTTTTTTTTATTTGATTATTTTTATGTTATATATATTAGTGTATATATGTATGTATTTTTAATATTTTATTTATAAATTTATTATTATTATACGTATATTATGATTATCTTTGTTTGATTATTTTTCTATTATACTTTGTCATTATATATATATATATATATATGTATGTATACTATTAATATTTTATTTATATGTCTATTATTACATATATATTAATTGTTATTTTCTGATTTTATTTTTTATTACTTTATATTATATATGTATATATTTATTTATTTTTACATAATATTTTATATCTTATTATTTTTCCTGACTATCATTTTTACCTATTATATTAATTATGATAACTTATTATATATGTATGTATATATTCTTTATATTTTTTTGTTATAATT